AAAACCACAAGCACAAAATTTGAAATAATAATATCTATCTTTGGCATTCTTAGCCTTCTAAAGTGCTTCTTCAAATTTTTTATTTTTCCTGTAGTTAAAAGCTATTTCCTCAATTCATTTGGTCTTATAACATAGTTAAAGGCAGCTGAGATAACTCACAGCTAGGTTCAAATGGCAATCTCAAAGTTCTCTAGAGTGATTGTTTTATTATTTGTTGTTGTTGTTTTTTTAAAGATCTTTCCCTTTTCTTTACAAAGTTTTTTTTTTTTTTCTTTTGAACCACAGTTTAAAGAAATTTTCTTTTCTTTTTTAAAGATGAGGTCTCATTATGTTGCCCATGCTGGTCTTGAACTCCCTGGGCTCAACCAGTCCTCTTGTTTCAGCCTCCCAAAGTGCTGAGATTATAGGCATGAGCCACTGCACTCAGACCAAATGAAAATTTTCTGCGTTTTTTTTTTTTTTTTTCTGTGACTCTAGCCAAAGACTAAATGAAAATTTTCTTTTCTTTTGAGATGGAGTCTCACTCTGTCACCCAGGCTATGGCTAACTGCAACCTCCACCTCCCAGGTTCAAGTGTGTCTCCTGCCTCAGCCTCCCGAGTAGCTGGGACTACAGGTGTGGGCCACCATGCCCGGCTAATTTCTATATTTTTAGTAGAGATGGGGTTTTGCCATGTTGGACAGGCTGGTCTCGAACTCCTGATTGCAAGTGATCCACCTGCCTCTGCCTCTGCCTCTCAAAGTGCTGGGATTACAGGAATGAACCACTGTGCCCAGCCTAAGTGAAAATTTCCTTTTTTTCTTTTCTTTGTCTTTTTTCTCTTTCTCTAGCCAAAGAGAAAACGAAAATTTTCAAGCAGTGTGAGGATAGCCATTTGGGATAATGGATCCCTGTTTTTGTTTTGTTTTGTTTTGTTTTTTTGAGACTGAGTCTTGCTCTGTTGCTCAGGCGGGATTGCAGTGGTACCATCTGGGCTCACTGCAACCTCTGCCTCCTGGGTTCAACTGATTCTTCTGCCTCAGCCACCCAGGTGGCTAAGATTACAGGTGTGGGCCACCACGCCTGGCTAATTTTTGTATTATTAGTAGAGATGAGGTTTTGCCATATTGGCAATGCTGGTCTTGAACTCCTTGCCTCAAGTGATCCACCCGTCTTGGCCTCCTAAAGTGCTGGGATTATGGGCATGAGCCACCATGCCCAGCCAGGACAGTAGAGCTTACTGAGATAATTAGTTAATTTGGTATGATTGCTTGTCACTTAGAATTGTACGCTAAGTAGTAAGAGGCTCACAGGAGAAATCTATGGTGATTCACTGAGTGACAAAGGATAAGGTAGATATAATTGTTTGGGAGAGAGATTGTGAAGTTCAGTACAGGTTTATTCTTTGAACCAGTTGCATCTGTTTCTTTATAAAATGGGAATAATATGTATATACAGAATTTCTATGAAAATTAAATTATATGCAGTACTTAAAGTCCCTAGCATATAGTGACTGGATCAAAGTAGTTTCTCAATAAATAATACATAATACATCCTTGTCATTTCTACTTTTTTTTTTTTTGAGATGGCGTTTCACTCTTGTTGCCAAGGCTGGAGTGCAATGGTGCCATCTCGGCTCACTGCAACCTCCACCTCCCAGGTTGAAGTGATTCTCCTCCCTCAGCCTCCTGAGTAGCTGAGACTACAGGCGGGTGCCACCATGCTTGGCTAATTTTTTGTATTTTTAGTAGAGACGTGGTTTCACTGTGTTAGCCAGGATGGTCTCGATCTCCTGAACTGGTGTTCTGCCTGCCTCAGCCTCCCAAAGTCCTGGGATAACAAGCATGAGCCACCTGGCCTGGCCATTTTTTTTTTAAGAGAGAGTTTCACTCTGTCACCCAAGCTGGAGTGCAGTGATGTGATCATAGCTCACCACAACCTTGACCTCAGGGGCTGCAGGGATTCTCTGGCCTCAGCCTCCTGAGCAGTTAGGACAACAGGCCCATGTTACCACACCCAGCTGATTTTTAAAATTTTTAAATGTTTATCTTTTCTGTGCTACTCTGCCCTTCTTTTCTACCACCTGATTCTTAGATTTTAATCAGTTCCAAAAGTACACTAAAGACAGAGTCTTGCTATGTTGCCCAGGCTGGCCTCAACCTCCTGGCCTCAAATGATCCATCTGCCTCAGCCTCCCAAAATTCCAGGATTATAGGTGTCAGTGACTGTGCCCAGATGTTCTCTACCCTCTATCTACCCGCAAGATTGATATACTGAGGGACTAGAATTTCCTTACTCTGCATTAGTTTATCTGTAAAAAGAGACATTTGATCTTATGCTCTTCAATTCAGCACCAAAATTCTACTTTTATATGTTATTTTTCACATCCCCATTCAAGTGATTAGTATGGTCTTAAACATTCTTCTCTGTGTTTGCTCTCATTTTTCTTGCTTGAAATACCCTATTATCTCTTTTAAATTTTACCTAGTCTTTGATGTTAGACACAACCACATTAAAACACAAGGATACAAGGGATTTGAAAAGATGCAGTTAACAATGGGCTCCTGCCCTCAGTCAAGCCACCATACTAATTTAATTAATTTTATAGCAATAATCCCTTATTTTAAGTAAACAAATTATTTGGACACCATTAATTAGCATTGCAGCAGGATTTTATGTTGTTATTGTCTTTTGAAAAACCTTTCTACAACTTTTACCAGTGCTTTGTGCTAATTTATAATCATGTCTGAGTTTAAAGGAGCAGTAAGCTTGGGCTTGGTGGCCTCATGCTTATAATCCCAGCACTTTGGAAGGCCGAGGTGGGTGGATCACCTGAGGTCAGGAGTTCTGAAACCAGCCTGACAAACACGGAGAAACCCCATCTCTACTAAAAATACAAAATTAGCCAGGCATGGTGGCGCATGCCTGTAGTATCAGCTACTTGGAAGGCTGAGGCAAGAGAATCACCTGAACCCTGGAGGCAGAGGTTGCGGTGAGCCAAGATACGCCATTGCACTCCAGCCTGGGAAACAAGAGTGAAACTCTCAAAAAAAAAAAAAAAAAAAAAGAAATGCTATTCAGAAATCATATAGAGAGACTAATATAGAAAACAGCATAAATTTCAAAAACATCACGCTGAGAGAGAGAAGACAGACCAAACAAATGTACCTCTGATCAACTCTAGATAAGTAGGATGAACCTTTAGTGACAGAAGAAGGTAAATCAGTAGATGCCTGATGTGGGGATGGGGATGTGGGGATTGACTTAACAAAGTCATGGGGAAATTTGTGGTGGGGACTGTGGTGAATAAAAGTATTCTATATCCGGCTGGGCGCGGTGGCTCATGTTTGTAATCCCAGCACTTTGGGAGGCCGAGGTGGACGGATCACGAGGTCAGGAGTTTGAGACCAGCCTAGCCAACACAGCAAAACCCCCTCTCTACTAAAAATACAAAAATTAGCCAGTTGTGGTGGCAGGCACCTGTAATCCTAGCTACTCGGGAGGCTGAGGCAGGAGAATCACTTGAACCTAGGAAGCGGAAGTTACAGTGAGCTGAGATTGTGCCACTGCACTCTAGCCTGGGCGACAGAGCTAGACTCTGTCTCAAAAAAAAAACCATACACACACACACACATTCTATATCCAGTAACGCAAAGAATAAATGCTTGAGGGTTAGAGACCCCATTTTACATATGTTATGCATTACATGCCTGTATCAAAACGTCTCATGTACCCCATAAATATATATACCTACTATGAACCCACAAAAATTTAGATAAAAAGCTTAATTATTTTTAAATTTTAATAAATGTTCTGTATCCTGATTATGATGGTGGTGATAAGGATTTAGACATTTGTTGAAACTCATCAAGCAGCTCACTTAAAATGAGTGCGCTTTATTATATTTAAACTATGCTTCAGTAAAGTTGATTTAAAAAAAACAGGCACACAAATATAATTTACAAACCATAACATTAGCTCATTTATGGTGTACCATTCAATTATTTTTTGTGCATTCAAAGTTGTGCAAACATCGTTATCTAATTCAAGAAGCTTTGCATTACCCCCAAAAGGAACCTTTTATCTATTAGCAATCACTCAGTTCCCCCTAATCCTGCTAGTCCTAAAAAAGTCTTAATTTACTCCTTGTCCTTAGATTTGCCTATTTGCCAATTTTAAATATTTCATACAAATGCAATCACAATATGTGGCTCATTCACGGATGAAGGCAAAAATGAGGATTTAATCAGTCTAGCATTCTCAGAGTGGGTTGTAACGCCTAGAAGAGTCCGGGACCCTGGGTGCGCTCTGCACAGTGGGTCGGCTCGGGGCGTTGAAGCGATCTCCTTCCACTAGCCCCGGCGCCTCACCCTTTTTGGCTCCAGACTACAGTTCCCAGAATCCTTGCGGCTCTAATCTACGTCTGGCCGGAAGCGGCGACCTTTTCCTCTTTCTCAAGGAACTCTCTGGGGTTGGCTGGTACCATGGAGGAAGATTGTCTTCGTGGTGCAGGGCCAGCGTCCTATGGCAGTTTCACTCTGATCCTGTGTCTGAATCACGGAGACACGGGGTAGCCGTTCGGAGTGGGGAGCAGGGATGTCCCCGAGCTGTGCAGCGGCAGAAACCCGAAAAACTGGACGCCATCTTCTCGGTGCGGTACTACTCTGGACTGCATTTCCCAGAGGGCCCCCGAGTCCAGGGCAGCCCCTTCATTTGCCTGCTGGACCCTAGGCCTCCAGGGCATGGGAAGCGCGCGGTGAACGTCCTGGGTCGTTGCGGGCTCGGCTTGGGTCCGCAGGTGCGTGCCTGGGAGTTTGAAGGGACTGACCAGGTGGTCTGGAGTGTCGGACATGTATGAGTTGGTCGGGCTGTTGGAGGGAATGGTGGGGAGGCGGGCGCGAGGCGTGGGCTTCCGTGTGTGAGTGTGATCGAGTGTGATCGAGTGTGAGTTTATGTGACTGTGCCTCGCTGTGTGCGCGGGTGTGATTGTATATCCTCGTTGTAGTTGTGTGATTGTAACAATGTAAGGCCGTGTGTGTGTGACTGCCCCATGGTGGGACTGTGATTGTGTGTGACTGTAACTTTGCGTGACATTGTGGAGGGTGTGTGGAGAAAATCTGGTGATGAAGACTAACTGTGTTATTCTGAAGAGTGCGTTTGTAATTGTGTTTGTATGACTATTAGCAGCACTAAGTGTACTGGATGCCTCACTAAGTGACATAGTGAGAATATGAGAGTATGACCGTGTAACTTTATGTGGCATTGTGTCTGTGGTTAGCAAGTGCGTGTAATTTTGCTGGGGTGACAATATGTGTGTCCTAACGATCATTGTGTTATTTTGCATGTGTGATTGTGTGTAGTGCTCAATAAGGGTCCTGGGAAGGGGGGAACTGTAACTTTGTGTGCCTCAGTAGTGAGTGTGGTATTGTGACTATCTGTAGCACTCTGGTTTTGAATGGTGCTGTGTTTGAGGGGTCTATAAACATGCAGGTGTGACTGTGTATTCTCAGGGTAGATGTGGGACAGTGATTGTGCCACCGTAATAAAGTGTTATTGTTTGGGTGAGGTATGCCTGTGGAGGTGTATGTGGGTTCCTGTGGTGAGTGAGTGACTGCAGCATTGGGTATGGGGTGCTTGTGACTGTCTTTGTGACTCCAGCTCTCCCTGTGAGGTCAGGACAGATTCTCATACAGAGCAGAGACCTCACTCCTTTGATACCAAGAATGCTCAGGACAGCTTACATGTCCCCCATCCCTGCTTCTCTTCACAGACAGTAGATATAGATCCAGAATGACCTCTGATCTGGTCAGTCTGGGGGCCACAAGAAAGGCCTGGCATCCCATGATTCCCTTCTTCTTCTTCAGCTCTGCCCTCTTCAGAGAGTTACCCAGAGGAGGAATGAAGAATGGCTGTTGACTAAACCAAATACAAGGTGCATTAGGTTTCCTTTTTGCTTCTCTTCTCTGGATAGTTGTGGTTAACATAGAGTCAACAGTGACCTGGTTCTTAGAAGTTTCTATTCAAGAAAATAATAAGAAGCTTTGGAGTGGACATAGAGATCCCAGTAGTCTCTCTCTCTTTTTTTATGAGTCTTGCACGGTTGCCCAGGCTGGAGTGCAGTGGCATGATCTCGGCTCCCTGCAACCTCCATGTCCTGAGTTTAAGCAATTCTCCTGCCTCAGTCTCCCAAGTCGCTGGAAATACAGGTGCCCACCACCATGCCCAGATAATTTTTGTATTTTTAGTAGAGACGAGGTTTCACTATTTGACCAGGCTGCTCTTGAACTCCTGGCCTTGTGATCCACCTGCCTCGGCCTCCCAAAGTGCTGGGAAGACAGGCGTGAGCCACTGTGCCTGGCACCATTACCCCATTAGTCTCTTTTACTTCTTTCTATAAAATATTCACT